TTATAATTTTTAAGGAAACGGTTCATTCAGACATTATAGCATATGCTGCACATCTTGGGTAACACCATACCAAGTCAATTATGCAGCTCATGAACTTTAGATAAAACAAATGTATAAAATGGGACATTGACATTCTAATAATTTGACTAACCCCAATTAGTTCTACATGTCTAAAAGAAAATGAAAACAAGAATATAAAGACCTGGAGAACACTGGAGATTAATAAGACTATAAATGTAATAATAAATATGGCAAAACAGAGAAATGTTTCCAAAGTCTACTGCCTAATCTAAATCTTCATGTATACCATTTCATTTTCAAACACACTTTGAACTTTAAATGGTATATTAATAACTTTAAGACATTGACTCAATTTCGAATGAATTTTCTATCTTTTGAAATGATTTTCCTCTACATAGGTCATTCAAAAATGGTCGACCTCTTCCCTGAAAAGACCTATTTAACATTGTTGAAAAGGTAACTTTTATTAGTCTATTTAATTTCAAACATAATTCTGATTTACAAAAGCATCCCCGAGAAAAAAAACGCCTTGGTTTATTTTCCTGAAATGTGTTTACATGTTCTCATTTGCTAAAAGATTATTACCAGTTGGTGGCGGTAATGCTCACCTAACGTTTTTGCCATAAAAATTTCATGAAGAAGAAGAAGAGAACGCACGCGCAGAGGGTAAAAAAAAAAAAAAAAAAAAGTATTTCTAATCGATAGTAGAGTGATTCAACGCCACCTCCCATTAGAATAGCTCCTGCCATGGCAGACAAATTAAACACACAGAAAAGGTAATGTAAACACATAAATACGTCGGTTTAACCTATAAGTTAATTGCTTTTTTTTTTTTTTTTAAATAGCTATGAAACAGTGACGGGGAAGTAGTTTTATCCCCTCTTTAAAACATGTCAATAGAAGTATCTAGTTAGCATCCTAAGCTAGCATTGTTAATCGGTTCCTACTGCTCTGTTCTCAGTGTCAAAATAGCTGCTGGGGCTGTAGTGTGTGTTGAAAGCGAGATCAGAGGAGATGTTACTATTGGTAAGATGTTCTGCATCGATCACAGTACAGAAAAGACACCATCTAAGAAATCGGAATGATATTTAACATGTATTCACTGTATGTTTTCTTCTTATTTGAGGCCCTAGAACAGTGGTTCACCCAAAAGCTCGGATTATTGCAGAGGCAGGGCCTATTGTGATTGGAGAAGGCAACCTGATCGAAGAACAAGCTCTGATCCATAACAGGTGAGGAGTTAATGCAGTTTACTGGTATTTCACTAGTTAGATTTCAAAATGGATGAAGCTTTGTCTCAATTTTTTTTTTTCCTTTTTTCTGTCATGTTAAGACTGTTTCATATCTAGCTGAGAGGAAGCATTAGGATGAGCTGGTCAAGAGGGCCAGCACTGTTCTAGATCTCCTGGACACAGCTGTAGGAGAGCTCTTTCACTGACAAAGTGCTGCATCCTAGATGCTCTAAGGCAGGCATCCCCAACCTCTGTCCTCAAGGCCTCCTGTCCTGCAGGTTTTAGAGGTTTCCTTGCTAAAGCCCAGCTGATTTTAATTGAAAGCTGATTAACAGGCTTTTGGTCTACTGCAATCATTATAATCAGCTGTGCTAAAGCAGGGAAACCTCTAAAACCTGCAGGACAGCGGGCCTTGAGGACTGAGGATGCCTGCTCTAAGGAACGCTGCCACAGATCCTCCCTCCCAACTGCTGTTGAACTTTATGATCTCTGCTTCTTCCTATAAACTAAACAAGTGCTGACAAAATAATCATTTAGTCTCTCAGATGCTACCATTTGTACATTATGAATTGATTTCTCTATTAATAATTTCACTTTATTCTAGTTTCTTCTTTTTTTCTTGCCTCTTTCACACCCAAATTTCCCCATTTTGACATAACAGATGCTGCTTTTCTAAAGAGCTCTACGTTTTCTTTCCATTTCAGTTATCCACAAAACATCACACCAGACTCTGAAGTGGAGCCAAAGACCATGTCCATTGGTACAAACAATGTGTTTGAAGTGGGCTGCAGTATCCTTCTTCAACCTGCCTGTCTGGCTATTCTGTATAAAACAATTTTTTGATGATGTTTCTTCAACATGCTGAAAACTTAATTATCCTTAACTTATCAAAATCAGTATCGCAAGCTTTAAAAATTGGTGATAACAATGTAATCGAATCTAAAGGTGGGTTCTAACAGATTCAAGATTTGGAAAAATGTCTAATGAAGTTAGTATTCATTATTTTCCTCTGCTATCTAGCCGACGTTGGGAGGAACGTGATCCTCACCAGTGGCTGTATCATTGGAGCCTTCTGTCAGGTCAACACCTGCGAGGTCATACCTGAGAACACAGTCATCTTTGGCTCCGGATGTATGAGGAGGGTTCAGACTGAGAGACCACAGGTACAGATAAACATGGTTTAACAAATCTGGGATATAGAGAAATATACCAAAAAATATAAAAGTATGGAGAATTATCATTCTTCTGTTGGGAGGGGGTATTGCAGTAGGATAAATTAATCGATTAATCTATTGATTCACTTTAAATGTGTTGATAATCTCAGTGAAAACTCGCTCGTGGTTTAGACTAATCTATTCTAAATATATAACTTAATATCCTTACCCTTAAATATCCCTGCCTGGCTGAAGGATTTTGTGTACTCAACTACAGTCCAGACCAAAATGTACAATGGCCTCAATTTTCAGAGGTAGAGGGAAAAATATGAGACTATATTTTTATTTTATTATCGGATGCTGGTTGTAATTTAACAGTAAGTGAGATTTACAACCAAAGAAGCAAAGATGAATCACCATAATTACTGATTTTCTTTTTTTTTTTTACAGAGCCATGTGATCAGGGTTTTAAAAAATGGCCTTGGGGCTGGGTTTGTTACCAGTGTGAAAGTGTATCAAAGTTCCAAAAACAATTACTACAGTGTTAAAAAGAGATGCCAGAGAGTTTTCTCTGGATGCATGGAGTGCCATTATCTTCTTTTGTGTGGATCAGATCATTTTTTCAAATATAAGATAATGTCTATGATCTCCGCTATTAGAAGATGTCAATCCAAGCTAGCTTCGATGTGAGATGTATAATGGCCTCCCTTTTTTAATCATAATTAGTTTCATTTTCATTAACCTCAGCCAGGTCTGATTACATCCTGATCTATTGAACCACACTGAAACAAGGTTTTAAAGATGAATTAGTCTGATAGCATAACAAAGCATTTGGAACCAAAGTGAAAATGGTCCTAATGGTGGAAAACCCTCTGAGGAGTGGAGGACATACTATCAATTTTCCAAGAGTGCTTTGACAACCCATTCAGGAGGTCACAATAGAACCCAGGACAACATCTAAGGCTAAGTTCACACTGCAGCCTGAAGTGACCAAAACCCGATTTCTTTGCACATATGTGACCTGTATCTAACCTATGACAGTCTGAACACATGGTTTTTCTAATACGACCCAGGCCACTTGGCTATATGGTTCTGAATCCAGTAAGTATCTGTTTTTATGTGCGACCGCATTCATCCGCCCTGAACGCCATTAATACTCAACAAAGGTCACTATTCTGCGTCCTTCTACGTAGAAGCAGGAAGAAAAACAACCATGGCAGGCAATAATGCGGAGAGCAGTCTTTATTTTTTTACTATCTTGAAAAGATTGTATTAATACACTGCCTGAGGTTGGGAAAGATCGTTAGATGCGCTCCAGCACCATCATCCATATTTACTTCTGTAAAGACAGAACACACTCGCTTGTGATGTGACTGCGTCCTCTACTGCACATCAGAACACTTAAGATGTGTGAATGCAGTAGGGCTGTGACTAAAGATAATTTTTCCAATTGACTCATCTGTCAATTTTTTAAATCCAAAAATGATCAGAAAGCCAAATGTTACACGATTTATAATTTTAAACCAGGGAAAAATAAAACTATTCCACTTGAGGAGTTCTGGATCAAGCAAAATTTTTTTTTTCTTAAATGCAAAATTTTTACATATATTTTACAATTTTGATTTAATTTTTGCTCTAAGTGGGTTGCTCTTTCAGCTAAAGGTGTGTTTTAGTCTCTGTACTCCGGTTAATGATTGTTCGATTACTACATTAGTGGACGATTATTTCAATAATCAATTAATCTGATTGTTTCAGCCCAATAATGTGCTTCACACAGGAGATCACATAAAAGTCGCAGGTATTTGGAAATGTGAACGACCATGCAAAAGAATCGGATTTCACAAAAGAAAGTCGGAATTGAGCGATGAGGCCTGCAGTGTGAACTTTGCCTAAATGCACCGCATATCTCACTTTTCCCAGTTAAGTTCAGAGTTAATTCAAGTGAAGCTCTCAAAGCCACAACATTGTGCTAATAAAACACGTTTAAATGAATTAGCATGTTTTTAATTTCATTCTGCCATCTCTGGAGAACTGAACCCTTTAACTTATGGGATGGTTAACTTGGTGCAGGGCTGTATTGAGTTGGTCCTTGTTTCTGCACCTCACTGAAAGCTTTCACTGTCATTGCAGCCCCAGACCCTCCAGCTTGACTTCCTGATGAAGATTTTGCCGAATTACCACCATTTGAAGAAAACCATCAAACCAAGCCACACTACCAGTTAAATATATCGGTACACTAATTTAAATAAAATGTACAGTTATTAAACCCATTGACGATTAGCATCCTTTTGATATTTTCAATTTCAAACATTTCTTCCTGTATACTTGCTAGATTTGAGCTTTTTCTCTGACATGTTTTCTCCCCCACCAACTTTAAGTGATGTACTCTATGTATTGATTTAACACTGCAAAAGATTTGAAACATTTTTGTGTAACAATGGAAATTTATTAAAATATGTTCAAAAGTCTTATTCTTTCATCAGTATACCGCAGCTTTTCAGAGTAAAAGCATTGAAATTCCACAAGACGAGACGGCGTTGTCCTCCACCCATCTGGTTTGGAAAATCAAAATGTCTCTTACTCAAATTGCGCCTTTCAAAACACTTCTTTACTCTAAATAAAATCAAAGTAATATTGATACATCTTTGACCAATATACATTTCATCTGTATGGATGATGTGCCCACTGCTGGTTAGTCTTCAGTGTGCTTACATATCAAAACTCTTCAGAGTCCTGTTTGATTAACCAGTGAATCAGAGGCATTCCATAACACTGCTGCTACTGGCTCCATGTAATGAATGATTACTGATCCTTAGAGGGAATGAAAGTAAAGTAACACAGGATTTTTTTTTTTTTACTGAACCGCAATAATAAGTCTGTATCATAAAGCCAGCAACTTAATCTCCAGCCACCTCCGACCACAGCGAGCCGTTTCACTTCTTAGAAGGCACACCATCCGAGTAATCCTCCAAAACTCCTTGCAGATGGTTGTTATGGGTTTTAAATTGCCTCTTCCTCTGCCCGCTTTGCTTCTTTCTCTTTTGAACTGGCATCTGCAGGGAACCCAAAAATCAGAACAATAGAACAGAATAAACAGGACGGTTGTTTCAGTTGACAAATCCTGAAAGTGGGAATATTTAAGTTTTACAATCAACTAAAAACGGTTTTGTTTACAGCTCCTGAAGTAAATGCATAAAAAAAATAAGAAAAGAAGCTGACCACTTTCTTTGGTCCAGTCTCTTGCATGGAAGAGATGCCCTGTTTTTTCAAGTATTCCTCAATTTTCTCTTCATCTATGGAGTCCACTGGTACGCTCCTCCACAGCTTCTGAAATTCTACAATTCCAAGAGGAACAACAAAGGTTAAAATGTATGAAGTCAAAGCCTGTAACAGGATAAAGACATACCTCAAAATGTTCACATTAAAGGGTTTAGTTTTAAGTTAGAAAAGGTGAAATGTACATATGGACATAAACTTTTTTATTTGCTTACTAAACAGATTTTTGAAACAGCATGGATCGGAGTCCTGCACGGGTCTGATTTTTCAAAACTGAATCCACACGCATCCATTAAAGTTCAGAACCAAGTCCCGTTATCTGCAATTATCCCCATTTAAAACCTGTCCGAGACCATAAATAATAAAGTACGACCGGACCCGTGATGACAAAGTGAACACATATCCGTTCATAACAAAGAAAATAACACTGCCTCATGCTAACATCCAATGCGCTCTGTGCTCAGAAATTGAAAGCTGTAAATTGATCTTAATAAGGTTTGCCTTGCTGCTTTAAAAAATTATTTATATATATATATATATATATATATATATATATATATCTTGCTAATCTGGATATTTTTGAATCAATTTATTTGTAGACTCTGTAAATAACATGCAGGTTTTTTTCCTACATGTAGAAGTAAGTTTTATACACGTACATGATCCGGTGCAGGACTCTGGCATGGATTCATAAATAAGCAGGAATCAGGAAGATTGTTGATGTTAAGGTGAAGGAGTTGGATTGAATACGTTTCCACCTTTTTCATACCCATTTTCAGTCATAAGTACCAAATTATAAACAATTATGCATAGTGATTACATGTGTCACATTTGTAGTTTTAAACTGGATTGTCTGAAAGAAAAGGTGTTCATTCAAATACAATTTCACACCAAACCCAGCCCGTTGCTATATATGCTGGTGGTATGTATTGTTTTTTTTTTTACCTTCATCTACCACAAACTGGCAATGCTTGTCATTGTAGAACAGGATCTTTTTCTTGTCTGGTCTTGTTACGAAGACGATCTGATCCCCCAAAGCCTGTGGGCGACACAGAAAGGGTCGTTTAAAACTTCAACTGTGGTTTTTTATCATTCATTTTGCAAAACATCATATAGGGCCTTGTTAAAGTATTAAACTCTTGTCATGTGGCGTCTTTCTTTATAATTACAGTAGCGGTTTATTGACACATTTTTAAGAAACATCTTGGGTCATTAGGATTATATTCTATATTTTTTAGATGAATTCATAAGGAAGCAAGTTTTATTTAGGGGTATCAGAGTAAGGAAGCTTAAAACCAATCCACAGCATTTTGTCTACTTTTATTTGTTAGAGAATTTTAAAAGCATGCATTTTTTTTGCCTCCGATTCCCTTTTTATGTTGGTTTTAAATATAAAAATCACAGGAAAGTTTTTCACATTAAACATAAAAAAATATGAGAAACATTTTTTGAAGACAGTCTTGCAGTTCTGTAAATGAAATCCTCTCCGAATCACCTTGATAGCCTTGGCTGAATTAGGGAGTCCCTCCTCCACATCATCCAGCAGAACTCCTCCCAGGCCCAGCTGGTCATGTTTGTCCAGCAGCCTCAGTAGGGCTTTCTTGTCCTTCAGGTTGTATTTTGGCTTAAAACCATACGTTCCATCACGAACCTCAATTTTTGGGTTGCTTACCAAGGCCTGGGTTTTAGGGATAAAAACAGAACAGATTAAATGTAAAAATGTGGCGCAAACATTAACTTAATCTTACATTTAATATAAATGTATTTTGGAGATACCATGTATTTGAATGTTATTTAAAAATGAAGGAAATCCCCATACAAACATTTTGATTTTAACATGTTTAGCTCCATGCCTCTAAATGGCTTATTTCTGTTGCACAACCAGAGATGATGCTTACAGTACTATATACATTTTATTTCCAATTAGCCAGAACTTTTCTTTTATCAAAACAAGTCCAACTTTTTACAGCGAAAACACCCACCAAATCTAATGGAAAAGAAAGATGGAACTTGATGTACATGGATAGTATAAGTATTTTCTTATTATTTGGTACTTCACAGTTTGAGGATTTTATGTTCTAATATACACTATATTGCCAAAAGTATTTGCTCACCCATCCAAATTATTGGAATCAGGTGTTCCAATCACTTCCATGGCCACAGGTGTATAAATTCAAGCACCTAGGCATGCAGACTGTTTTTACAAACATTTGTGAAAGAATGGGTCGCTCTCAGGAGCTCAGTGAATTCCAGCGTGGAACTGTGATAGGATGCCACCTGTGCAACAAATCCAGTCGTGAAATTTCCTCGCTCCTAAATATTCCACAGTCAACTGTCAGCTGTATTATAAGAAAATGGAAGTGTTTGGGAACGACAGCAACTCAGCCACGAAGTGGTAGGCCACGTAAACTGACGGAGCGGGGTCAGCGGATGCTGACGCGCATAGTGCGAAGAGGTCGCCAACTTTCTGCAGAGTCAATCACTACAGACCTCCAAACTTCATGTGGCCTTCAGATTAGCTCAAGAACAGTGCGCAGAGAGCTTCATGGAATGGGTTTCCATGGTCGAGCAGCTGCATCCAAGCCATACATCACCAAGTGCAATGCAAAGCGTCGGATGCGGTGGTGTAAAGCACGCCGCCACTGGACTCTAGAGCAGTGGAGACGCGTTCTCTGGAGTGACGAATCGCGCTTCTCCATCTGGCAATCTGATGGACGGGTCTGGGTTTGGCGGTTGCCAGGAGAACGGTACTTGTCTGACTGCATTGTGCCAAGTGTAAAGTTTGGTGGAGGGGGGATTATGGTGTGGGGTTGTTTTTCAGGAGCTGGGCTTGGCCCCTTAGTTCCAGTGAAAGGAACTCTGAATGCTTCAGCATACCAAGACATTTTGGACAATTCCATGCTCCCAACTTTGTGGGAACAGTTTGGAGCTGGCCCCTTCCTCTTCCAACATGACTGTGCACCAGTGCACAAAGCAAGGTCCATAAAGACATGGATGACAGAGTCTGGTGTGGATGAACTTGACTGGCCTGCACAGAGTCCTGACCTCAACCCGATAGAACACCTTTGGGATGAATTAGAGCGGAGACTGAGAGCCAGGCCTTCTCGTCCAACATCAGTGTGCGACCTCACAAATGCGCTTCTGGAAGAATGGTCAAAAATTCCCATAAACACACTCCTAAACCTTGTGGACAGCCTTCCCAGAAGAGTTGAAGCTGTTCTAGCTGCAAAGGGTGGACCGACGTCATATTGAACCCTATGGATTAGGAACGGGATGTCACTTAAGCTCATATGTGAGTCAAGGCAGGTGAGCAAATACTTTTGGCAATATAGTGTATATAATTTAGCTGGCTATTGTTTTCAGAAGATAAATTATTTTATAATATGTGAAAAGGAGTTGCCTGATTATGGGAATTGGAAGATTTTCTGCTGCATTAGGCCTCAACAGTGAATGGCTGATGGGAAATATTGGCTACGTTCACACTGCAGGCCTTCATGCTCAATTCCGATTTTTTTTTTGCGTTGCTGTTCACATTTCCAAATCTATGCGACTTGTATGTGATCTCCACGCATGAGCAGTAGAGGACACAATGATGTCACAGGCCAGCTTGCTCTGTGTTTACGGAAGTAAACATGGATGATAGTGCCGGAGCGCATCTAGTGATCTTTCCCAACCATAAAAACACAATCTTTTCAAGCTGGTTTAACATAAATACTGCTCTCTGCATCATCATCTGCCATGGTTGTTGTTTTTCTTGCCACTTCTTCATAGCAAGACCCAGAATAGTGACCTTTGTCAGGTATTAATGGCGTTCAGGTCGGATGAATGCGACCTGGCCGTTCAGACACAGGTCGCATTTTTTTTTGGCCAGAAAATGCAACAAACCTAAGTGCCAACAGGGGGAACTAGTTGTTCTAACCTCTCATTTGTCTCCTTTCGCACAAACAGTTTATAAATAATAAGAACATCACTTAATGCCCCTATTTATCTTGGAGACATTTTTTGGCCACTTAAATACTCCAGGTTTCTTTCATTAGTTTCCTATTTTTCAGTGGTTTTCATAATCGGTTCCCAGAGCCCACTGTCCTGCATGTTTTAGATGCGTCTCTGCTCCAGCACACCTGCATCAAATGATTCCATTAACACCTCAGCAACCACCACAGGGTGCAAAGCCCTGCTAATCACTGTTTTATCTAAGGCAGGTGTGTAGTGGCAGGGCAATACCAGACACAAGGAGGACAGATACAGAGTTCAAATTCATGGACTGCGTCCTCCAAAGGCCAGATTTGTAGGCAGATTACATCATAGCGTGCCGCCGAGGTCTGTTCGGTTTGCAAGACAATATACATTGCATTTGGATGAAGGCGTTTCCTTCTACATTAGGGTGCCGTTAATACCTGCTGCAAAATCCCAGCAAGCCTGCAACTGATGCTGAATCACTAAGGGCTGAATTGTCAACTTACCCTATCCCACTACATGGTTTGGGATGGCACTTAATGTGGCAGACCCTCCGCGGGAATGCAGGTTAAAGCTAAACAAAACCCCAAAATAGGCCAAATATTGTGATTATTGCATTTTTAAAGTAAAGTAAATTTTAAAGTAATAAGATCTGCTGTAGACTATTTTTTTTGTCCAGAAATAAATGCTCCTCTTATTTGTATTCTTTTTATAAGGATTACTTATAAGAAAACTTTATAAACAATGTTCATAAAATCAAAATTGCAAATGCATAAATTAGAAAAAGAGAGAAAATGTCCCAGACTGACTTACTCTGAGCTGTAAATTCCATATGACAAGCATTTAAACAATCTACTCCCAAGTCTGTTTCGAATGACAAATTGGGTAAACCTGAGGATTTTTATAACCCCTCCTCAAGAAGAAAGGATAGAATTTAATTCCTGTTGAGGTGATAAAAATAGAGCAACCCTGATCATGACAGGAGCACACCTCAGTCATCAGCCATTGTTTCTGTTTCATACTGATGTCAAGAAGTTTGGTCTCATCCAGGATCTCATCAAGGGTCAGAAAGTGTGTGTCACCATTTTGATGCCTCGTCTGTGAAAGGGACAAAATCAGACAAAGTTAACAATTAAGAAGATAAACACCTGCGAACAAATTTTAGATTTATTTATCATTTAACCAAACCATGGACAGGGATTCAGCCACGTCTTCTACAAGTTAGCACTTTAAATGTCAGGCTGTTTTACACTATTTAAAACTCACAGCCTCCAACAGAAGGGATAAAAGTAGAAACATACGAAGAAATCTGTCAGGCGATGTGCGAGTTCAGCAAAAAAGATGAGTCACAAAGCTTGTTGACAGAGGGTCACCATTTTTCAGCAGGGCTGCAGCCTGATAAACAAGCTGTTTATGTACCCAAAGAAGCTAGAGAGCAAATGTTACACAGTGGGCAAGTCTGACTCATCTGGCTGATGCCATAACACAGAAAATCAGCTTTTTAAGAAGCTGTGTAGGAGATGACCATAGGCTGTGAAAAATAATAGTGGCAAGGGTAGATCATGTAGATATGGGATTACAGGAAAGCAGTTTTTAAATACAAAAATATTCAAATCTCCATATGGTCACCTTCATGTAGTTGACAATCTTGGCCAGGCAGCCGAACTTGTACCCAGAGCTTGCCTTGATGTTGATGTTTCCATTTGCAGATTCTGAGGAAGAGAAAAATAGTTGAAATCAATAATATAGTATTTGGGAAGCAGGAAGATGAACGAACAGCAAGATGGTAAAAAACAACAAAAAATGTGTAAAAATGAAAGCGATGCAATGTTTTAGCCAAAATTTAGAGAAATTGGTATTGAATCAATATTCTGATACAAGTAATGAAGCTACGCTTAAATGAAGCATTGTTTGAACATCCTAGCAGATTTCTGTAACCCTCTGTTCCAACAAGTAAGAATTTAGATTTTTATTTTGAAATACACAACAATTTGTGAAGTGGTCGGAAACCATTGTTAAAACGCCCAATTCAGAAAATTATCCAACCAGAAAAAAATGAATCATATAAAATAAGTTCATCCGAACCTAATTACACGTGATAAATACTGATTAAATATTAAGAAAAATTTATTGTGATCAGGATCTTTTTTCTTTAACAGAGCAAACTTAATAAAAGCAACGGACTGAAAAACTGATGCACGGAAAGATCTTTCTGCTAAAAATGCCTGGATTTATTATTTTTTGTGTACAATTTAAAGGATGATGTACATACATTGTCTTTAAATAACTCACTATCCAAGCTACAAAAACCTGCACATATATCTATGATAGTAGTACAAAAAATAAAGGATGTAAGGAATGCAACTTTTGGCAGGATAAGCCCTATATTTAACAAAATACAACGAAGTAAGGAAAATCTAATGGGAATCCTATAAACTCAAGTCTATTCTCTCCTTTAGTGCAGTCATGCCATCCACCCCCACCCAATTGGTCTGAACAGACTGCTCACCAATCACAGATGACAACAGACACCGATTCATTAATGATTCATAGTGTGGGCAGCAGCCTGTGTGGTTGATAGCTGAATAGTGGGCAGGGCGTTTTTTTTGACAGTTTGACAAACCAATGGCATTGGTGCAGGGGTGGGAGGAACGAGCCAATGACGTGGGACAAGCCTGATCCGTTTAGGAGATGCATGAAGAGCTGCAAGGAGTGGCGGAGGAGAAGAGCGGGTGCACGAGCCACGGCTGAATGTGCATGAGTGTGCTGAGGAGAGCAGGTGGATGAGTGAATTGGAGGAAAAAAAAACAAAAAAACAGGAGACAGGGGGAGAACTGAAAGCAGGAGAGCACATCTCTTATCCAGCATCTTTGAGAAGCTGAGCCAGACGCACAGGTGAGTTTTTACAGATAGAGTCTGAATCGTAAGAATGTGTACGATATAAATCCATTTCAAGCCCAGTTTGATTTAAAAATACAAACTGCTGTTGGTATCATTTCAGGAATAATGCTAGCTGTTTTACTGCATTTTGCTGCTGAATCATAAACACTCAAATCAGCAAAATAATATTTGCAACTTCATTTCTTTTGCTTAATATCAATCAAAGCCGCAACATCCTTAAATAAAACAAAGCATCCGTTATAAAACCCTTAGCTGTTTGATGCAAAAGCAAAGCTAAACCTACTTGGACACAAAAAAACGCATGATTAAATAAACATGGACCAATCTGTCTGCACTCTTCTCTGGTTGAATAACAAGCCTCTGAGTATTTGTGTCTGCGCAGGCGTTCATGGGCATCATGTCTGCGTCTGTCAGAATGCACATCTCAGTGCAAACCGCGGCAAACCAGACGGCGGTTAAAATATGCGAATCGAGAGCCAGGGAAGCACTATCAGGATTGTGCGTTTGTTCTGCGTGGCGGACAATTTTTTAAGAGCATTTCTTGGTCCAAGAAGCACGGCTGGGTGGGGCTCTTGTAAAGGGGGTGGGGAACAGATGCTACAGGGAGCAAACTGTCCCTTAACGCAAATGGGAATCGCAGAAAATATCAAGCAGGAAACATGGGGGTTGGAGGAGGTCAGGCAGCAATTATGAGTCAGTGAGGTTGTTGCCATGGCAATAAAATAAGGGAGGGTAATTGATTTTGTCTAATAAGTTTATGGTAAACATGGATTATAAACTAACTGCATGAACTAAATTGGGACCTCCTGCTGTCATCACAGAAAACAGCTCAAAATAAAGGCTTTAATTACGTATTATACTGATTATGGTCAATAAATTTAAGCATTTCAACAACATACTTTGTGGAATACACTACTATAACAACTAAAATGACACAAAAAAGTTATTTAACCTATCTTTTTCCAGAAAATGTATGTGTGCTTGTGTCACTGCTGCCAAACACAAATACTGCTCATTGTATGCAGTTCTTCAAAAATAAATGAGACAATATTAGCAGGGCTTCACAGTATCTTGCAAACTTAGTGTGACAATGTGTCACTTAAAGTTATCTGCATTTCCCAAAGAACTGCCTGGATTGCAAAAAAATGTTAGAAAATAATTTAACAACCTTCCAATCAGGTTCTCTATGCCTACAGCATATTTTCATGAATGCGTTTTGCGAAGCATGTAGAGTCAAATAACTACTGATAGTTTGAGTGTTTTAAAAGCAGGTGGCTAGTGGGAGGTTTTAAGCAAGACCGCGTTTTTTGACCATCAGATTAATCTGTTACTCTAAAATTGTTCTTAGGTATGATAGTGTTTGGGTGGTTGGTTGTATTGTCTGTCTCTCTGTGTTGTGATTGACCGACAACCTGTCCATGGTGTAGCCCTTCTAAAGCCCAGTGGGAGCTGTAGATTCATGGGCCCAGCTACCCAGCAAAGTTAAATAGCTGATTGGACGGACGGATGTTACTATCTGGGGTCTATGCTTACTACAAAACTAAAGCAGAAAGGCATAACACTTTTTATATATTTGTTTATCACAAGTAATATTGTCATTAGGGCTGGATAAAAAAAAAATCAAAAAAAAAATCGGTTCCTTTACATTTTTGCAAAATCGATGTCTAGGGAATGAGATCGATTAGTTTTATAGTGACGCACGTGATGTTCACATTCCAATGAGCAGGAAAGATGCGCTCAAGATGCTAGACAGCTGCAAATATAGCCAATAGGTTGACTGAAGACATTAACAAATGGGTGCTGACCAGCAAACACCCTGTAGTTGTTTACAGACAACACTGCAAATATGGTTTGTGCAGAGGAGATAATGCAGCTCATGCATGTCTGCTGTGTCCCGCTGTGTCACATCTGCTTGCTCATGTGAGGCTTTTTCACTTTTCACAAAGTTTGCACTTTGCATTTAATGTGACAGGAAAAGATAAAATACATGAGTATTTTTGAAACACAGTTGAACCACTTTCATTATTGTAAAAACTGATTGAATCGAAATGAATCGCTTTAGAACTGAATGAATCAAATCGAATCGATTCAGGACTTTGGCAAAAAGTACCCAGCCCTAATTGTCATTGTGAAATCCATAAAAATGCAGCTCCAAAATTTGGTGTTGGCAAGACTTCAAACTGCCCACATAATTCTGAGAGGTGTAAGTAAGTGGTAGAGTTTAAATTATTGAACACGGCTATCAAATCAAAAATGCAAAGCCTCAAGAGAACGGTAGTGAGAGTTTGACGTAACAAGAGGCTACAAGATTTGTTCCTAAGCTAGGTTAAGATGCTTTTTCAACATTAAAACAATAATTTTAGGTGAAACTTCAGTTATAGTTGTAAGCTCTAAAAAGAAATGGACAGTAATTCTAAATGCAAGAAAACTGGTAAAAAAGGAAGCACTTCAGCTCCTCTATGCAGGTTTTCCCCATTTCTAAGTAAACTGGGTCAGCCACCTCTTTCTCTCTGCTGCTGTGTGTGTGTCAGTAGCAGGAGTATGCACAGTCATGTATGCATGCACTGGTCAGTGTGGATTTAGAGTGGTAGGGGTTGGCAGAAAGAACAACTGAGGAGAGACAGACTGTCTGACCACGTGGCTATATAACAAGATATTAAACAAATACATCTGAGAGTTCCTTAAATGCAAACTCTGCTTAAAGCAACCCATCATTGTATAGATTGAAAATAAAGACTCAAATGAATAAAAGTTTCAAATTCTAGACACAAAAATCACACAAGAAAAAAAAACAAAAAAAAAAACAGGCATAGATCACAATTTCATCATTGTAATGTTTACTGGTATTTATCAACATTACATAATCCTCAAATACAACCCTAGTGTAGCCTGATAAACCAGCCTAAATGTGAAATTAAATGTGTAATTTAGTCTGACCCAGATGAATGAGACATCGGAAGATTGTTGATGAGAACAACCCGTTGTCTTTCAAACCATGTCTGTGCCTATTGGCCAACGCTCTGACCAATGAGCGCAACTGACTGGGACGTAGTAAGCGCAACAGAAAGCTGGTGGGGGAGTGTAAAGGAACAGCTTGTCGGTAAAACGGCGAATACGTCCTTCTTAAAAATGAATGAGCCTAGAACCTCACCCTGCTCACGTTTCAACCAAAACCCCAAGTCTAATCCTTCCAAAAACTGATTCCAAAGCTGAGTCAAACGAGAACTGTTCAATAGTTGTTGCCATCTTCCTTGTTGTGCTTCTCGAGTGTCACACAGCTTAGTCGTCCCGCCCTCAAAACCCCGCCTACTTTGCATCCAGACATTCAAAACACATCTCTGCGTTGTGATTGGCCCGCCAGTTCTAGGGCCTGGGGCATTGATGGAGGCTAGACCCACTCGCAGACAAAAAAGATTCTGGCCTCTGGCATAAGATTTCCACATCCTCTCCGTTTCCTGACATTAGTTAAGAACATCTTTACCTTCCTGTTATCAGCTTAAATTCTTGCTCTGCCATGTTGTAGAAAATATGTTTGCTTTATATGATTTCTTGCTCCATCATAGTCATGAGCTTATTAACAAACCATTTTTTTAAATGACAAAAAAGTATTCCATACCATAAAGGAGTGCATTTTTCTTTTCCTTTAAAGAAAAGTAAAATCATTTAGACCTTATATTACAATATTGTTTATCACCAAAATGCTTTCTTTAAAAAGTTTAAAAAAAAAAAAAAAAAAAAAGACGCCCTGAATTTCTCAACAGTGTCTCTCTGTGATGCTTTTGTCTCTGACCAGAAAACATGGCCAACATCACCACCACAATTCACCAAAGTAGTCTCCCTGAGGCAGTCTCTCTATCCCGCGTCTCCTTTCAGGTCCAAGAAGTCTACCCATTCCATGATGGCTGGAACATTGCCTGCTTCATCATTCTTCTACTTTTCATCCTTACCGTCCTGTCGCTGACTGCTCTGGCCGTCCTCTATGAGCTGCTAGACTGTGGATGCTGCGCTAAAGGAAAAACACACCACCAGCTTCAAGAACAAGGGCCAGGAGGCTGCGGCAAGCTCATGACCAGCATTTGCAAGGAGCCAGAATCTCACACAGAAGTGGTATAGAGCCAACAGGGAGTGATAAAAGGGGAAATAGCATTTCCACTCACATAAAAAAGGACTAAAATCAACAAAATATTTTCCCAGTTACCTACTGTAAAAATGTATATTAGACAAGTAATGAAAGGGAAATAGATGCATGATAAGCATACTGACAAGTTGCTTTAAACACTTTTTTTTTTTTAAGATAAAGAAATGTTTTTTTGCTGCTTCTTTTTCCTAAGTCAAAATGGACTATATTACTGCATGCCAAAATAAAGGCAATGTTAACCATCGGAAAGCAAGAATGTTTTCTTTACGTTTCACATATTACCATCTTGACAGTACGTCGACATAAATAGCACTGCTTCGTTAGCGTAAGATATTTCGATATCTGAACAGTGAGAGATTTAATCGTCATTCCATATGCCTTAATCACAAACTGCCTATTCAACTCTCACTAACATATATGGGTTTTTATTCACCGTCTTAAAAACTGACTGATGCTTGGCATGCAAATTGTGTGGGCTAATTTTGTTGGACATGTGTGTATATGAAAGGGTTAAAACAATCGTTAAGATTTTCAAAGAAAAATTCTCCATTCCTATTGTAAAAAAAAAAAAACAACAAAAAAACATAAAATAGAAAAGTAAATGCTTGCTGAACGCATCTGTATACATTTCATACACTGAGAGAGGCTATGAAAAACAGTGAAAGATTGTTATTGAAATGTAATTTCAGTGTTTTTTTTGTTTTTGTTTTTTTTACTGTCAATAAAGTCCCACTTCACAGAAAACACCTTTGCTATTACTTGCTATCCACCAGTTATAATAATTTCCTTGAGAAATTATGAAACATAAATGGAGATGCAATCCTCACAGACTTTGTCATAACAGCATGAGTCCTAATGCAACATACTGACTCTAAACGGTTGCTAAGCAACATTTTTCAACTGCTGGAGGATTAGACTGCAGGCACCAACAACAAGAGTGTTCAGATATGCTGTGTTTCAAACACTGATACAGTCCTCTTTTACGAGTCAGGGTCCATCTGCTCTGCCTTGTTCCACTGTTTTGCAAGAATAATACTATTCATATGTTTAGTACCCAAGAAAATATACAAAAACAGAGGTGTGAAAGATGTGAAAATTGTGATTAGGTAAATTCTAATTCTACTGCGGCTGCTCATAAAATGTGTATTGTTAAAAAAAGAAAACATTCTGGCAGCAAAACCTATTTTATCAAAATAATTTTTCTTTATCTTTTTTATACAACAATTTCCTAACAATGTGGAATGAAACTTCTTCCAAGGCTTGTGCTCAGCAGGAGAAACACCCTGAACTTTTCTCCAATCTGCCCCTTCTGGCAAGCCGCAGGTAAGAGCCTCACTTCTATCATCGTTTAGAAAAATGTGCGAGGAATTGGTTTTTGAATCAAATTTAACTGGAATATGAGCTATTTTACAGACACCAGAAGCCACAAAGTGGGTGAGTCCGCTCAGCTGTACAGCAGTAAACAATGGATAAAAATGCTAATTTAGACATCAAAGAGACTTTTAATGCGTAAAACTTCACGTTATGGACCGCAACCCTATAATTAAGAGCCTGTTGCACGCCCAAGAGAGGAGAGAGAGAGACCGCGGGAAGAATTAATGGCCAAAGGAGACACATTGGGTTGTGGTATGAGAGCAATCAGTGGAGAGTAGGACAGCTATTATGGGGTGGGACCAGCGTTAGCTTGTGTGCTAACATCAAAACATCATACTGAATGTATATGAGTTGAAAAATTTTTTTTTACCAATTGCAGTAGGTTGTAATGATACTGCACTGGCAAAGTAACCCCGAAATGCTACATCCTCCGTCACAGCCCCGCTGAACCCCAGATTGTCTGCGCAAAGCCTACAGTTTCCGCTGTTCCTCTCGCCTTACTTCGCTCCGACTTCCTCTGAGCTCGATGAGAGCATGTATGACATTATTATTAAATTCATAGGAGCAAACCATGGGGAAATTAATGCTTAATTTAATATGACGCATAAAAAAAAATCCCAATTAGCATCCAGCATGTGTGCAGTTTCTGCCCAAATATTTTATTTTTGTAGTAGATTTTGATAACAGGGATAACTAGGATCATCCAAAACAGCTGTTTTTATTAACTTTGTTTTTCTTCTCTATTTCCAAACTCATCATCTCTTCATCCATTCCTGCAATAAGAAGTTCCTTTTGACCGGATTTGATTATATTTTTAAGCGCCTCGGCATAAAATAAATATTTTGATGGAGATGAGAAATCTGCTTCCTGGTATGTTGAAGAATGACTTGTTTGTTTGCATACAATCTTTTAAATAAATTATGTTAGTTTTTGGAATTATGCCATAATTTCTAGTTCCAGATCCGTCGTTACTATATTTTAATCTGACAAACCGGATCTTCTCTAAGTTCTTTCTCCTGTTTGGTGCGATTGCAATTGTGGATCTTGACCTGGCCGGACAGGAGCGGAGCAAAAAAATAGCTCGGCTCTGTATTTTGACAGTGACGGACGGAGAAGACGTACGTGGACGTGTGGAGGAGAAGCGGTGGATGTGGAACAGCTCTCATCGATTAACATGATAGACAAGTACTCCACAGGACGTACTTGAGCGGGGCGGAGCGCTGACAGAGTACGTGGAATCTGGGGGTCAGTCTGACAGGGCATCAGAACTAGCACAGCGTTGGCATCTCAGTCCCTCTGAGAGATCAAGTTTCACTTATTTCAACATCATTCAGTCTGCCGAAGGATCTCAGTATGCAGTGGCAGTGAGCAAACCTAACATTTCTCCATTTGGTCTTTTAGTAGGGTAAAGTTTTAAAATAAATCACCAACATATCTGATAGCTCATCTCCATTGATTGGCATGATCAGTGTAGCGACCATCAAATTTCCTCCAATTTTGGTCGCTTCTGGGTGCGGGAATCCAGGCCCTAATGCGCTCAAAAGGCAATGTCCAGACTGGGGGATAAGTTTGGGAACACTCCCATTTATTCGCACAATAATATTGAATGCAATCCAATTCCTGGGTGGCGGTTAATGGCAGCATGCAAATAAATGGTAAATTGATCAATATGTGGATATGATGAAGAAAACCAGTATATAATAGAGATCGGTAAAAAACCGTGTGACCTCCCCACACCCTCCAACACTGCCCTTACCTTGTCACTTATATAGATTTCACACACAGCGCCACCAGTGTTAGAGCAGCAATAAAGGTCAGAGAGTCATTTCATATACAATCCAAATACCGCCACTAAAACAAAGCAATTTATGGAAGCCAAATAAGATAGACCAAAACAATGCCCAAAAACAAAATTACAAATGGCTCCAATAACCTGTATGGTCTAATATTATTAGTGTTTCTATGACTAAGCAAGTACAGACCACTGGGTGTTCATTGTTGTTGTTGTTTATTCTGTCACCGTGTTGTCATGCTGATGTAACCCAATGCTGTGGATTTGGTTTAACTGCAGGTTAAGTGGCAGATGAACATGAAGTTGAGTAGAAACGCCTGCTTGAACGGACCACATAATTCTAACACTACTGATCCGTGATGACTTAGACCAGAACAACGGTCAAAGCGAAAAATCAAACATCTTTCAAAGCCATATCAGTTCCTAGACCTGAATCAAGGTTTATAAAGGAATGAGCAACTCTTATTTAATGCTCTTAAAAATAATGTTAATGCCATCAACAACTACCCACGACTTTTATATATACATGGCAAATTTCTTTGTCATCTTTACCGTTTACAGGCTACAGCCATGTCCCAATTCCTGGTTTTCCAGCCACTTTGGTTGAAATTTGCTTTTTCCCCATTCTCTAGCTTTTTCTCTGCCTTGAGCTTCTTTTCCAAACATACGGCTTTACGATCAACCAGAAGCAGTTCCACATAAATATACTGCGATATAATATATTTGATGAAATTGTTTTTATACTTCTTTTTTTTTTTTTTTATAAAGCCTTTAAAGGCCACAAAAATCACATTTAATGAATTGTAATGCCAATTAAGGCCTTCATTAAAAAAAAAATATATATATAATTTAATGACTCTTAATGATTTTTTTAATGACCTGCGGAAACCCTGAGAATCCACATGAAATTATTTCTACTAAACCAAGGTTTCTTAACCCTGGTCCCCAGGGCCCTCTGTCCCACATGTTTGAGTCTTTTCCCTGCCTCAGCATACCTGATCTGAAGGAAAAGGTGACCAACAGGATTAGCAGCATTGGATGGCTGCCGAGGAGGTAAGGAACTCATTTGAATCAGGTGTGCTTGAGTAGAGGCATTTCCAAAAACATGAAGGACAATGGGCCCTGAGGACCAGTGTTAAGTAACCCTGTGCTAAACTAAGAGGAGAGGACTGAGGCTTATGGGTGATTGAAAAATGGTAAAAAAAAAAAAAAAAAAAAAGAAAGGTATAGAAGACTATCTGTATTTACAAAACTTGTGAAATACTTCAAATTAATTACCAGAGGTTTTGTTGTTTTTTGTTTTTTTGTTATTTTTACATCCAGCAAATCTTCACAAACTAAAAGGTTGGATTTTCAGTGCGGAATCAAGCTATTGCATTAAAACATTTAAAGATTTTTTATACATGCATCTGCACCAAATATGCAAATAAAGATACCTTTCTGCAACGGAACTGACAATTATCACCTTGTAACACCAAAAGACCTAGAAAACATTTATTCTAAAGCTTGTGGTTTGATAAACAAAGCTTTTCGAATACTGGCCAGAACAATACATTTGTTCTTCTGCAGAACAGAGTAGAAAAGTGGAAACAGCAGCCTTGGATTTGTGAAGTGTAAACCATAAACTCAAAGAAATTCAAATCATTTTTATGCTACAAAGGAAGGAATTCTTGATGAATCTAGTATATTGAGCCTTTAAATACTATATAAAATATCAGAATAATGTATCATAAAGGTAAAATGCTTGGTCAGTAATTGGCAAGCAAAGCTTTGATGAAGAATAAAAGAAGGTTTATGTGATTAAAGTCAATGATTGAATAGCAGGTTGCCCTTACCAGAGCTGTTTTTGGATCCAGAGGAGCTCTCCTTCTCTACTTTGGGTTTCTTCTTCTTGTGAGATCCAGAGTCTGAAGCAGCTTGCCTTTTCTCTACAGCTGGAGTGGAAAGAGCTCTCTTTTGGAACAGCTCCCTCTCCCTTAACAGAGCTGGATCCATCCTGACAAACTGATAGGAAAGAAGAAAAGTGTATTATTGAAAGCCAAATTATTTATACAACAGACGTAATTCTATTTTTCTAAAATTATATTTGGAGAACAGATCATTTACCAGGTTTGTCTACTGTTGGATGTGGGCTATATTATTATTCAATGACTTTAGGTTATCGTGAATTTTTTGACCAGTGCAATTCCTGAAAAAATAAATTAACAACCAAATCACAAAAAAAAAAAAAAAAATTAATTAAACACCTCCAACAGAATATGCAAAGCCCATCCACAATGCATGCTGTACCATTAATTGACTACACATTTTTATTTTGGTTTATAGCCATAGGGGACACTGCAGCATGTTAATAAAACCTCTTGATGGATGGAACACTTAATCAGATTATATTCTATTTAATCAATGGAAATGTGTTAAGCAATTTCATAACTAAAGTATACAAATTACAGAACATGCCTTAAACTGAGACAACAAACCCACCAGAGCAGTGATGAAGCCAAAAACTGTATAAAATATAAATACATTTAAGATTATAATCCTTCCTTGTCTGCAAATATGCTCTATTTAAAGCTTACTTGTAACAGCTTTAGCTTCACCAAGTTCAAATTCTGTATAATAAATATCATTTGAACAATTTTTGCAAAGAAGATTAACAGATTTTATTTTTTATGCATAAGTACTAAAGATAATATGCAATTAAATGGCTTCGAACACAATCAAAAAAGCAAAAAGCATCCAGTAGGAACAACACCTCTTTGCATTTTCTGTCAAAGGTACAAAGGTCTTTCTCGTTAGACAATAATCAATTGAAAGCTCATATAAAAGGCAAAATACATTTTTCTCTACGCATTCCAAATAAGGACAATCAAAAAGGCAAAGTCAAAGATAAACAAAGAAGACAAAGAATGCAAGTTAGGTAATACAAGGGAAACAACCCAACAGTATATCGAGTATTGCTTTGGAAACGATTTCAAATGTGAATATATTCTGAAAATAACCCTAGCAAGAATGATAGAATAAATGTTTCCATAGAAATTATCAATCAGATCCACCATTGATCCAAAGCACTGAGAGGCAAAACAAAGTAACTCAATTCTAGCTGCTTGCTTTAGCTAACATTTGTTAGCTCTCATTAATCGCCTAAGCAGTTTGCTAACATAACATCTTATCAAAAATTTTATTGATATAGCTAAATAAATGTAATAAAACAATTTACTCAATTCTCGCCGCTAACCTAGCATTAGCACATTGAGTGTGATGTCAGGTAACGGTTCCTACCTCTTTCTTTGTCCGCTCGTAGATAAACTATCAAGTTAGCCCAAGAGGACTAACCAGTCAAGGTAAAAAGCCGAATTAATCTTTATGTAAATAAACTATTTTCTTGTATTTTCAACGTAAACATATGGTAATGCTAGTCAGCTAGCTAACAAACTTCTAACAAATGTGTTCTCTTTAACCGTACTTCCGCTAGTTGTTCGACTTATCGGCTTTCTGCTGCTAATCCTGTCATTACGTCACTAAATGTGTTCTACTGGAGAGAAAAATATTTTAATACAATTAAATAAAAAAACAATTGCATTTTTATTTTTATTTTAAAACAATTCAATTCAAGCAGCATTTTATTTTCTTTCTTTTTTTTTAGTTAAGACTAGCCACATTTATCTGTAAAAAGCATTATGATTACTATTATGATTAATTTTATTATGACCAATGATACATAAGCGGTGGAAAAACAAATAAAATGACTACTGATAAGTAACAAAGGAATAATAGCAATAAATAAAGTTAAGCTGAATGCAAAGGGGTTTATTTTTTGTCATTCTTTTTACACTGAGATGTGCAGTTAGTGTGTAGCTTAGCACTGCCACCTTGTGGCTTCAAAATGTCACTTCTAGCTTTTATAAGTTTTGCCTATCGAGAAAGGAATTATTCATTTGCTCAAGTAAAACTATGCATCTTTAACAAAAAACAAATAAACAAACAAACAAAAAAATACTGAAGCATAATTAAGCAATCACATGTTATATATTTTAATTTGTTAATGATTAAACTGAAAAAAGTCAATATAACATAATTTCGCTAAAAAAAATATTAAGCTGAGCATGCTCTTTAAAAAAAAAAAAGTTAATCAAAGGGACTCAAAAATGTCCCAAAAATTAGATTAATGATTAACATGATAGTCTGCAGCCTATTGTCATTTGTGTGCGTTTATATTTGAGACTGGAAGCTTGCAAATAGAATAATAACATGGTCAGTGTTATCAGATTTTTATTTGTTTTTTAATTTTACATAAATTAGATCTCTGAAAGAATAAAAAAGCATCATTTCCACATTGGGGGTTATACACAATCAGTAAAACCCCAACACTCAACATTATTTCAAAATCCTTTTTGAAATTTTGTTGAAATAGCTTTAATCCCTTTCAGATTTGTGCTATAAATGCAAACTGCGTAGTTCCCGTATTAAATAATATTTGTGGCCTAAAAATACATTTTAAAGCCCTGGAACCTAATGCTTTTTAAAAGGAAGACAAATTAACTTTTCTCTACGTTTTATAAAGTATAATTTTGCTGCTTTCTGTTTAAATTCTTATCATAAAATGGGATTATCCTATTGGCTATTTTCAACAGGTTAAGAGTTATATATATACCTATTTAAAAATCACAATATTCACTCCAGTTAAAGCTCAATGATTATTGGAGAAATTTCATAAAAAAAATTTATTCTTATCCTTATCTTATTTTATTCTTATATCTTATTTCACACAGCTTAAATGGAAAGGATGTAACTTTACTCTGTGGGTTGTAATTTTACTATTTTTACTTTTTTTTTTTCCATCTTATTATACTATATTTTGTTTTGCTCTAATGTACTTACAATCTTATTTCTCTCTTGTCTGTAAACGGTGGCACTGCAAGAAAATAATTTCCTGCAAGGGATTAATAAAGTAATTTTGATTCTGAATGTCAAATGAATAGTAGCAATATCCTTAGATGATGAACTTCTCACTTTATCAAAAGGTGATTAATCACCTTTCTTGTTTGTTTTTTTTAACAAAGGGTTTTATCTGTATTTGGAGATATTTTATCTAAAAAAAATCAGAAGGCAAAGTTTAGTAGAGGGAGAATTATTTATTTTAAAGGAGTAAGGCATCTTAATCTTGCCATGGATCTCTGCCTGTGTGCTGTTTTAAAGAACAGGGTTGTTGCAGCTCTGCTGATACATTCAGAGTATATCTCTCAGTGGCTGAGACTGGGCTTCACTGACTGCAGACGGAAGCCGTCTTCACCACTGGGTTATCATCTGAGAGGAAAGTTGAGATAAAGCCACATCTATTCAGGATGCCAACAAAGAGAAAAAAGACAGATAAGCTCTCAGAAACCGCAGGGTGCAGCCTGCAAGATATATCACTGAGCTAGCCTTAAGATCAAGCTGAGTGAGAGAAAAAAAAAAAAAGATTTATATAAAAAAAAAAAGAGTAAACTGCTGGAACTAAATGATAGTTTTTATGTAAACAAAAGCCACAAGATTTATCATCTAACATACTTTTTATACCTTTTATCCAAGAAATGAGCAGGAAGAGGTTTCCTTGCTGGATTGTATTACTTACACTGGTTTGACATAATGTCATTTTTTTGTTTGAAAATCAATCCCTTTTCAAGGTATAGTACATCAAGCCTTTTTTAACAATGAATTTATGACAGCTGTATGTTTAATGTAATTTTCTGTCTGACTAAATTGGCTTAAAGTTCTTAAAATTATTCTGAGACATCCGAATAGTTTAGATGTTTTAATCACATTTAATTAAAGTATGTTTTGATATAACTCTGAGAAAATAAAAATGTAAAACTAGCTTAAGCAAGCTCTGCTATACAGGTGTTGATTAAAATATGTGACATCACAATCCGTGGTAACTGTAACTAATTATATTTTCACTAACTGCATAATGATGTTGCAACAGAAATTGAAAAGTTTTTGTTTACGACATTGCTTGGAGTTTTTAGGAGTAGAGAATGAGATTATTGTCATTGTTTGCCTGTCAGGTCACCTCTTGTATTCCTAAGTGGCCAGGGAATCTTAGCTGTTAAAACTAGAAATATTATCTTTAATCTAGACATGTTATTTGATTTGAAATAATCACACGCTCACATCCCACACTGATCCTGCTGTTATTCAGTGAAAATTATATTTATTCTTTGAAAGTTTACACGTGTATGACATTTTAATGCAATAAAGTTCAATTCAGTTGATTTACATTCACAAGAAAGACATAAAGGAACTTTGCTTAAGAAATGTTTTGTTGTTATTTTTGTGTTTTTTACAGACATCTTCAGTCAGTATGATCCAGCGATTTGGATTAGTGTAATCTGTGGAGCATTTTACTGGGATTCTGTGAGAAAAATCCTTGTAAAGTTTAGTAGTGATTCCAATTCATTCTTTAACACCTGTGCTAATGCCTCATTTTGAATCTCTTCTTAGAAACATATCCTTCATTATTCTTATGCCTTGTAGCAGGGCAAGTTTATTTATTAAGCACATTTCAGTAGTATAACATTTCAAAGTGGTGTAAGGTGTAAGGCTTGGGTTCTTAGTCATCCAATGATTTTCTAATGTACAGCTGTTATAATGACCAACAAAAAAGCATAACTACAGAGAGGACACTTTAGTTAGGGGAAGCATGTAGATATTCTAGATTGAAGATTGCACAAAATGGATTCCCGGGAAAAATCCCTTTCCTGCTAGCAGCTTTTCAATTCAGTTTTCATTTCATTTTATTTATATATAGTGCAAATTCACAACACATGTCTTCTAAAGGCACTTTACAATTCAACCAGATCATATGAAATTATGCAGAAAGAGCTAAATCCCTACATGTAAACTGTAATATCAGTTGAACTAAAGCTTTGTGTTATTTTCAGGAATACAGTGACGACAGATGTGTGTCCAATACGTCCTCGGTTCAGTAAGGTACCGGTACTAGACTTCCTGTTCACTGCATTGATGGTCTGTGGGTTTATCAGTATCAGTCCTTTTGCTATTAACTAGCCTGCTGAAATAAAGGCGCAAAATCTTACGCCACTGCCTGAGAGTCTTTAAGATTTAGGGCTCTTCATCTGCACCATGCAGCACAAATGATAGAAAATGTGAAGGTTAAGGTTAGACTTCTTGATCTCTGTCAAAATCTTTACTAATAATAAATAAAATGCTTAGGTTACTGCAAAGGTCTTTGTTACACAGGACTTCCTCCTTACTGCAGCAGAAATGATACACATGGAGCAGGAGGAAGTTAAACTCCAGGCAGCTGAGGCCAGAAATAGAGACTCTAACATCCACTGCCTGGCATGGCAAATAAAGACATGCTTGTTTCAGCGAGCAACTGGAGCAACCAGGTATGTACAGCAGAAATGTCAAACTACAATAATTATAGATTTATGGAACAATTTTGTAGAAATTGTATAAAAGTGAGAGGTATAGGTGAAGATGTCTTAATTCTGTTTTTCCTCCAGTGTTATCAATGACCGCTTTAAACACTACAAATGGATTCAATGCACAGCTTGCAAACGCTGGTTCCTTTTTCAGCGGCTGGTGTGGAGGACGACTGGACTTCAAAGGTTTTCTCTTGTGGATGCAACCTTGTCCCAGATGTATAAGAATTATGTAATACCCATCAGACCCATTTATGCCATGGAAATTAGGTAGCCCAATTGTTGTTTCTCTGTTAATAAAGTAGAAAATGCTGGAAGAAAATTTCCCTTGATTTGTCAAGTTAATCTTAGAATCTTATAATATCCTTTAGATACTTTAGGTACGCATGAGTATGTTTTGTTAATGAAAAGATTCCATTTTCAGCAATAGTTTCAAGGTGTTGCTTTATTGTATGTCTCGTACCATGTCTTGTTGTGCTGTTCTTTTTACATCTCGTTGCAGGCGATGAAGCAGACTGAAAATGTCTTATCATTATCTCCTTTCTATCTCCTCTTTCTTTTATCTTTTTTTTCTTCTTCTGTTTTTCTTCTTCTGTACTACCTACATTGCAGTGTCCATATAATCTGTAAAACTTCCTGCATAATTATAATAAAGCTTTTTATATGCATGAAACAAGTGGAACAACAGGGCAATAGCCGTACTGCTCCACTTGTGAAAGTAAAATCTGTTGGGCTCTTTTTGGCATCAAGACAATTATTCTTATTGCCACATTGCCAGACAGGACACTGTAAAAAAAAAAAAAAAAAAAAAAAAAAAAAAAAAAGATTAAAATATTACCACGTTACACAAAGCTGGATTTTAGCCTGTAACGTATGAAAAGGCTAGAGGCTAGCTACAAGAAATACACACTTTGATCTATTTGGTCAAGTAAAGGCAAAGTTATTGATCTTGGTTCAATTTAGGCTTTTCTTTTGTCTTTAACAGAGTCTTTAACAACCTTAAGTCTGTTAAAGCAGACCAAATTCTAACAGCTGGATATAAAAGTAGTAACATGAGCACT